TCAGGAACGTTTTCTTCCTTAGCTCAGGGCAAGATTAAAGATTAAATGGATAGACTGAGGATGATCACCTGGGGGGTGAAACAGAAAGTGTCTCCAAGGGGCACAAGCCAGTACCACAGCCACGAGCTCAGTATGTCAGAGGAATCCCAAAGGCCAAGATGAACCACAGAAGGATCGGTAGAACCCAGCAGGTCCAGGAGGGGGTGGCCGGGGGCGTCCCCCGCAATCCCGTGTGGGCGACAGAGTGAGACTCCAACTCAAAAAAAAAAAAAAAAAAAAAAAAGATTGTCTGGAAGGGTTATTTTGGCCAAGGTCACCTGCCTTATCTAAAGCTAGGATTCCTCTGTACTTTATTTCCCTATGATATTAATTTGTAATCATAAGCTAATTGTCCTGCATAAATTTCAAGTTCAGATTCCAAATGTGGTCAGTGATAGCTTAAAGAGTCTTTGTTTTTTAAAAATATTATTTGTTCTTGCTAAAAAAATACAAATATATGACTAGAGTCCACAGTTCTAGCAGGAAGGGACATTCTGTAGCCTCGTGATAGGGTGAAATACACAGGCACAAAGACTGTCGAAAGAGTATGTTTATACATGAAACTGGGGGGTTCCACATACTCGGGATATCATGTAAAGATATTCCAAAGGTGTGGAGATTATGCTGAGCTAAATAAGCCCGATCCTGGACATGCGGTCCCTGGAGCAGTCAAATCCACAGAGATAGAAAGTGGATAGAGGTTGTCAGGGCTGGGTGGGGGGTGTCGGGGGCTGCTCAGTGAATATACAATTTGAGTCTGGGAAGATGACCAAGGCTTGAGGATAGAGGTGATGGTTGCAAAACAGTGTGAGTATGCTTAACATGACTGAACGGGACACTACAAACGGTGACAATGGTGAGTTTTATGTGTATGTATTTTACCACATTTAGAAGAAAAGAGACAAGAAAAGTCTCCAACTATTTTGCCAATACAGATTTACTGTGTGCTTGGTTTTTCCTTCCTTCCTTCCTTCCTTCCTTCCTTCCTTCCTTCCTTCCTTCCTTCCTTCCTTCCTTCCTTCCTTCCTTCCTTCCTCTCTCTCACTCTTTTTTTCTTTCTTTCTGAAAGCAAAATTTATTGAGAGGACAGAAAAGCTCCTCCAGCAGGAGAGGACCTAAGGGGATTGCCTGCACTTGTTTTTTATGATGTTTTTTCTCTACTGATAGAGCACATTTTAAAGTACACTGGCATTGTCAGGAATGCCTTTTGCATTTTTTTTTTTTTTTTTTTGAGCCAGTCTCACTCTGTCTGGAGTGCAGTGACACGCTCATGGCCACCACAGCCTTGACCCGCTGGGCTCAGGTGATCCTTCCACCCCAGCCTTCCAAGAGGCTGGAACTTCAGTCGCGCACCACTGTGCCCAGCTAATCTTTTGGTTTTTTTATTGTAGAGGTGAGGTCTTACCAAGTTGCCCAGGCTGGTCTCGAGCCCCTGGGCTCAGGCAATCCTCTCACCTCAGCCTCCCAAAGTGCTGGGATGACAGGTGTGAGCCACCGCACCCAGTTCCCTTCCCACCTTTCAAGGCCCACGCAGGGCACTCTGCTTTCCACTAACAGGAGCTAAGGCTTTGCCTTGTGTGCAGACGGCGTAGCGATGGAGAGGCCAACGTGAAGATGCACACGTACATTTCAAAGAAGTATGCTGTCTCCCCAGGGGAAGTGATGTGTTTGTGAAAGGCATGAATCCTAACTCTCTGGCATCTGAAGGAGCACTTGAAGGATGAGCAGACACCCATGAGGCCTTTGGGGGGTAGGGGGTCCGTCCGGGAAGGTGGAACAGCTTGTGCAAAGTCCAGGGTGGGGCCGGTAATGTAGGCAGGGAGAGGGGGAGGCAGCCGCTCGCATCTGGGCTGCAGGGAAGGGAGGAGCCGCTACCAGCCACAGCCCAGATCATGGAGCCCTGGGGGTTTTCCTACCGCTGCTGTGGGGTCAAGGGAGTATTTTAGCCAACTTGCGCCGACAAAGTTACTCTGATACCAGTGTGGGAATGGGGCTAGACTGGAGAGGAACAGACTGGAGGCAGGAGCAGGCTGCTGGAATTGTGAGGCCAGGAAGATCAGGAGGCCAGAGTTCAGAGGCAATAAGAGTGTGGAGTTGGTAGGACTTTTTGCCCTCCTTTGAATTTTTTTTTTTGAGTCGGGGGTCTCACTCTGTTGCCCAGGCTGGAGCACTCTGACACGATCACAGCTCACTGCAGCCTCAAACTTTGGGCTTAGGTGGTCCTCCTGCCTCAGCCTCCCGAGTAGCTGGGACTATAGGTGCCCGCCACCATACCTGGCTAATTTTTTTTATTTCTTTGTAGAGGCCAGGTCTTGCTATGTTGCCCAGTCTGGTCTTGAACCCCTGGACTCAGGCAATCCTCTCGCACCTCCTCAAATGCTGGAATTACAGCATTTTGAGTTGGAGTCTCACTCCGTCGCCCAGACTGGAGTGCAGTGACATACTCCCGGCCACCGCAGCCTCGAGCCGCTGGGCTCCAGCAAGCCTTCCACCTCAGTCTTCCGAGTAGCCGGAATTACAGGCATGCACTATCACACCCGGCTGATTTTTTTGGATTTATTGTAGAGATGAGGTCTCGCCAAGTTGCCCAGGCAGGTCTCGAACCCGCGGACTCAGGCAATCCACTCACCTTGGCCTCCCAAAGCGCTGGGATTATAGGCTGAGCCACGGAGCCTGGCTCCACCTCTTGGATTTTAACACATACTATCTAGTTACTAGAGGAAAGTCTTGAAAATAAAGACAACACGTGCAACAAGAAACAATTGAGTCACAGTAACTGCTAACGCACACGTCCAGTTGTCTCCTAAGGAGAGTTTGTTAATATTTGAACAAAAACTCTTACCTAAGGTCCTGAAATGCGTCAGCTCTGACAAGGGGCGTCTCCACTGAGTGCTCAAAAAGAGCCCCTTCAGGCCCTAAACAAAAACCACAGGTGTGTGAGCGGCAGATGTGAAACAGGTGGCACCAGGCTAATTAAACACTTTGTCTACATATGGCAGCACGCACAGATTCTGTTCTTGAGCTGCTGAGTGTGTGCAGATGTTTGAGTCACAGAGGCAAAAAAGGTCCACCTGCTTTCTTACTTTTCTGAGGACATCACAGTTTCACTAGGTTAATGTCAACAAGATAACGTTTTTCAAAGCGATTACACATCAGCAGGCTTGTGTGAACACTAGAGAGTAATATTAGCCCTCAAACCGAAAAAGAAAAAAATTCCTGCAGAAAAATCACATATGTCCAAATAGTTTAACTCATAGTAATTGGACTCATTCTAGATTGTGTGTCAAAACCATATCTTGTGCCATTTGTTTCTTGGGCATGACAGTATATTTACAGGAAAATCAAAAATTTTAAATCTTTAAAATGGATCGTCTAATTCCTAGGCATTGGTACTTTCTCAGTTGAATCATTAGTCTGGGAAACTTATGATAGGCAGGGTGCTGTATCAGTTGGGGGTGCTGAGAACACGGGTGAAAGCAACATAGCCTGAGATGCATCCTAGCTTGTTTAATACTCAGACTCTCATGCTACAGGTTATATATTTACCCACGAGGAAACTGAGGAACAGAAAGGGTGCTTAACTTGTCTAGGGTTACACAGCGGAGCAGAGGCAGGCATGTAATTTGAGTTCAGGGCCCACTTAATCCACATACTATAGGGTTTCTCATTCGCAGATGAAGGCATGAAAGAGAGCAGTGCACCAGAAGGACAGGGAAACTCAATTATTCTGAGGGCCATCAGTGGGGAAGAATTACTCTAAGGCACCGGGCAAGACTGTGTCAGAAAATGCGGTGGGTCGGAACCTTACAATGAATAGACGTTTATGCACATCTGAGGGCTCTGGGCCAGGATTTCAAAGAGAGCAGTCAGTAGCCCAGGGACGGGAAAATGTGCTGAGCGTTTAGGAATGGTCGACGATCCAGGTCACTGGAGACGTCGAGGATTCTACATGGAAATATTCATTTTTCTTTCACATTATACCCAAAATATCTTTGATCCTGAATTTTACGAGCATACGCATAGATCTAAGTAGCACCATATACTTGCATATATGCCTATATACACATCATGATTTACTCAGTTGAGTCGGGCTTATTTAGGCCCCATCCCACCCCTAGTTGAGGCCCTGCCGCTGTCTCAAGCCCCACCCTGGCTGAGGCCCTGCCTCTGGCTCAAGCCTCACACCTGGCTTAGGCTCCACCCATGACTTAGGCCCCACCTCTAGTTGAGGCTCCACGCCTGCTGAAGGACCTCCCCTGGCTCAAGCCCCACCCTGGCTTAGGCCCCACCCCTGGCTTAGACCCTTTCCCTAGTTAAGGCTCTGCCCCCGCCTTGGCTCTGCACTATGGCTTCCAAATACTGTGTTTTTCTTGCTGAAGGTTCCACAAGGTTCCCAGGACCATCCTCATGCTGTGCAGACTCTCCTCTTTCAGACATACCGATGGTCCCCGACTTGTGACTGGTTTGTTGAGAGTCAACCCCATTGTAAGTCGAGGAGCATCTGCATCTTTAATCTGCTCTTGTTCTCGTTTTGATATGATACAATAAAAAAAAATTGACCTGGGTAAACGTTTCACAGACACTAGGTTGAGAAGTCCTCATCCTGGGCAAAAGGTCTCGTCAGCAGCCCCTACTAACGCGACAGTTCACAACACCCTCACATTTTCCCCAACGATATTACTAACTTTATTAGCTTCTTTATCATTATAATTACTGCTTTAGTAACATAGTTACTAAATAACATTAGTTATTTTATTTAACTAGGAAGACATGACAAAAACCCACACTAAAAACCCTCATTCAAGAAATAATAGCTATGGCACATAAATCAAAGAGACTTAAATCAGTACAAAACGAAACTTTAAAATTACAAACAGATTTAGCAAGACGATTTACATAGAGACTATAATCAACTGAAATAAAGGAACACACATAAGTGGAGGATAATGTTTCACGAAAATTATATTATAATTCATGTAAATTCTATTCAGAGAAGAAACCGATCCTCATACAAGATACAAGAAGTCACGCCTTCTGAAAACACCACTTAAGCAGACCTAAATGATGATGGAGCCATTATGTAAAGTGGGCTATACTAAGCACTGGAGTTTCCACAATAAACCGTGCCAATCAGATTTTATAGTACAACATCTGGTTTGCCTGAAGTGTAGACATCTTCTGTTGAGTGTACAGAGGGAAATAACCCAGTGATTTATATGATCTGTGTGTCCTCTTTATCTTTTCCATTCCTTCTTGCTTCTCCTGATTTGCAAAATACAGACGGTACCAAAAATGTATACGCATTTTAAGAAAGAAAAAACTGTATTAAAATTGTGATACTCAATATATATGGTAACAAAAGGTGAACACAAGTCACACTTGACTTCTGCAATTACAAGAGGTGCTCAAAGTGACTACCTTCTGCGTCTAGACACTTCTGACGACAGAAAACTAAAATACATAGACAACATCACTTAAAATGTGTATTCATTTTTTTGGCACCCCGGCATAAAAGAAAAGAAAAATATACCTCAAGTCGGCTGTTCATAAGACAAGTAGAGATATGCTAATAGCTTTATACATATGTAGATTTATTGTGGTTTTCATACCATTGTTTGAAGCATGAGAAGTGCTTTGCTCTGAGAAGCCTAGGGTGAGTTTTATAAATCATCAACAGATAATGATTTCTTTCCATAGCTAAGAAAGTAGAAACAAAAGGAATATGGGCCATAAGCTTCTGTGCAATTATTTTCTCCTACTATTTTTATATAAACAAAATGATATGATGTCTGAGAAAAAAATGCCAACACATTTTATTCTTTAAGACATAGTCCTTTTGTAAAACCAACCTAGATATGGCAATATGTTCCATCCAACTGCATAGGCAATTTCTCTTTGAGCACAGTGTCAAATTCCAAATAATACAGAGACAAATCTGTAAACTAAACGTTTGATTGGAAAGTCACAGAACTGTAACTTGGGCTGCATGGTCTTTGTTACGTTCAAAGAACAAAGAGAAAGTTGAGCGTTTCATTAGAAAGAAAAATGCTGGGTCTTGTTTTGAAAGAAAGCCCTAGAGAAGCTTCTGGGGGCTGGCAAACTCTGACTAGTGAGTGGTGGTGGCAGGAAAGACTAGTCTTAGAGTCGTGGCAGGGCCTGTCAGCATTTACTAGGTAAAAGTGGTCACAGGGTTACAGCGGACTGCTTCAGCAGCTGGCTTGAGGAATATTCAGTTCTTGGAGCAGGTGCTCTGTGTCCTGAGAGCTTTTTCCTCTTGGTTCCTAGACTCCAATTTAATTGGGTATGGCAAGAATGACCCAAGTTGTAGGATCAACGTTCGCAACAGTTTCAACTCTTTTTCCCTTAAGAGCTGAAATTATTTTAAAAGTTTCAGTGGTACTATTTTTGCAGGGAAATAGAACTCAATAATTAGTTTTTAAATGCATGTCAATTATTTACCTTCTAGTATGACTGAAATTAGTGATATAGTGACATGTGATTATGGTGATGTACTTACAGGCAGATATGAAATGTATAAACTGACATGTCTTATCCTTAAATAAGAGCAGCAGTTTATTATTGAAATTATAAATGCCCCAATTATATGCTCTTGATTATGTTATTACTATTCGGCTTCAAGGTAAATATTCCTCAGAACCTATTTGCATTTAATAAAATGGGTTTTCCTAAATGGTTTTGTCAAATGATTCTCAGTAAATGAATGTTGATCTTCAATTTAATTGCATTTTTTAATGTTTGCATTCATATTTAAGTATTTCCAACAAAGATTATGTAAAAATATAATTGGTGCAATATCTATTCCCTCTGAAAAATAGAACATATTACTTGAGGAAATATAATCTAAATTTTAGACAGGGAAAGGTTCTACTAAAAGATATCATTATATAAATCATGCACGAAAGGAATCCTGCATAATATAAATTATTTATACAGGAAAGTATAACCAAAAAAGGAAAATAAAACAAAACTCAATCTGATGTTAATTTTTTTCCTAGAATATGTCTCTGAAAAGAGACATCACTTCTACGGTGATTAGTAGTATTTGAATGAACCATTTTTCTCTCTGGATCCTAGGGCGTTTTAGGATGAATGGTACCCATGTGCAGCTCTGTAGCAAGACTGCAGTACAGAATAGACTAAAGTGGTGAAGGTAGTTGGAAGGTGCAGGGGACAGAGCCCAGCAACTACGGAGTTCTTTGGTAGAGCCCAGCAACTGGGTAGCAAATGGCCGCAAGTCATTCCATGGTTTCCAACATGCTGCCATTTCTAGGCCCTTTAAGTTACAGAAATGCACAGAATTCAGAATTAATACTTCTGTTCAAGCAATGGATAATATATACTCAGACATTGGTTAGATTTTTGTGTTTACACTGATAACTATTTGTTAAAACTCATTCCATAGTTCATTGAGTATATATGGATCGATTCAGGCTTTTCAAGTGATGCCAAAACGTCCCATTGTTTTCCCACACTGCCAGACTTCTGCAGAATGTCTGTAGTGCCTCTTGTCTTCGCCATTCTGTAACCACCTTGGACTGCCCTTCGCCTTTAATAATCTGATGAAAAACTATCTCCTTAACATAGCAATGACCTCCATGATGGTAAATCCAAGGACAATTTCTTCATCTTTCCTGGGCCCCAATTCTGGGAACATAATCTCTGCTGGCACTAGGAAAATGGCTGTTGTAATATTCTTCCCATCACACTGTTGTCCCTTCTCACTCTTCATTGGTGGCTACTCTTCCTTTACTTGGCCTCTGGCCAGGCATCTTTCAGAGGCCAGTTGGCTGATGATGCCCACATTTATATCTCTAGTCTAGACTTCCCCTCTGAGCACTCAATAGTTCACATACCCCATAGCTGACATGATGTAGGTGCTTGGCTGTTTCACAGA